CCAACATACTCTTAATTCTTAGAGTACCATTTCAGCATATGTGTTCCAGTCTTTTTTCTTGTTTATTTATACATAGATAACATCATGTTGTATATTATTTTATTTTATTTCATTTGGTTACCAGGGATCAAACTCGGGACCTTGCACTTGAGAGTTGGTAGAACCACTGAGCTAAATCCCTGGCCCTGTACATAATTTTATATCTCATTCTTTTCATTTTTTTTATGACATTGACATTATTCTGTTGAATGGATGTACCTACCATATTTAATAGTTTTCTTCCTTTCCTCTTCTACTTCTCTTCTCTACCCTCCTCCCCTTTTTCTAAGAGATGGGAGTCTTGATATGTTGTCCATGCTGGCCTCAAGCTCCTGCACTCAAGTGATCCTCCTTTCTCAGCCTCCCAGATGACTGAGATTGGCAATAATTTTTAAATCCAGTGATATGCAAGCCAAGGCATCTGGGTTTCAGGAACTGTTCAGATTCTTTTTCTCCACTGGGATCATATTCTAGTGATTGAAATAGGTCTTTTCTTGGATCTTGAACATCTTTAAACAAAACCATTTTGGTTGCGGTAAAATTTGATGCAGACTGCTTTATTGCTTGACTTACGGTTTACGTCTTATCAGATTTAGCACTGTACAGTGTTTTCTTTGTTAGAGGAATGTAGTAGGATACAGCTTGATGCTTAAAAATATTTTAAGTTATTACATGTTCTCTCATTCATGTCAAAATTAGGGAAAAATACCTAAGACTTACTGAATCATTTATACTATTCTTATTTTTTTCCTTTTGTATTGCTGTTGCTTAATTCAGACATTTTGAATAAGGGATGTGAGTAATTTTTCCCTTTGGATGTCAAACATAAAAAGTGACCATTGCATTACATAGTCTCCCTTTGTTCTTATTTAAATGAAGGTAACATTATATGGAATGTATGCAGTGGTTTATGAAGACTGATGTACTGAAACTCTCAGTTGCTAACTTTTAGAAGGTTAGCATTGTTTTTTTTGTTTTGTTTTTTGTACCAGGGATTGAACTCCAGACTTTGTGCTTGTGAGGCAGGCAGGAGTACCACTGAGTTAAATCCCCAGCCCTAGAAGATTAGTATTGTTGAAGGCTAATATTGATGTTTGTTAATTTTCCAGTGATGCTCTGAAGATAATGTGGTAGTAGGGAATGGTATGAGCTTGGAAATCTAAATTTGGAACTGAGTCAGAATTATGAGACTGGATGTTATTTGTGGTCTTTTGTGGCTATATACAGAGACATTTGATCGGTCTGTTTATTTTTAATCATGAAGTAAATACCATGAGTTTAATAATAGTCTCAATTTTTTTCTATACGTGCTAAGTATTTTTAACTTGGACTATTAGCTAATTATTATGAATTATTAATCACCATGTTAGAAAAATAATAGAGCATTTTGTGTGATGAGGGCTACTTTGATTTGTGGTTACTTGCTCTAATGTATTACTATATGCCTATGTATTTGTAAACTTTCTGGCTCTCTTCAAGATGAATTGATTTTTCTAAATATAGCAGTAGAAGCATTTTTGCAGGAAGCAGTTATTTGACCTCTCTGTTTTGTAGAATTGTAGTGTGTTCAAAGTAGTTGAGATGGATTATTACTTTTTAAAATTAACAATAAAATCAAAATGAGAACAGAGAGTAACTTGGTATACCCTGAAAAGGATCATGATTTCTGGAATTGAAAGTTTAACTCTCTTCAGACTTGGAGAGAGCCAGTCAGCCATGTGGGTGTAGACTTTATTTGAACTGTGGATCAGAGTGAGGATGAGGTTGGGAGTAGTAGAAATGCATTTAATGTTTGACTGCAGTTTATGTTGATTTTTTTTTTTTGCGATCAGGAATCGAACTCAGTTCCTTGTGCTTGAGAGGCAGGCGGCAGAACCACTGAGCCAAATGCCTGGCCCCAAAAGAACAATCTTTACTCTTTTTTTTTTTTTGAGACAGGGTCTCACTATATAGTTGAGACTGACCTGGAACTTGCTATGTAGCCCAGGCTGGTCTTGAACTCACAGTGATCCTCCTGCCTCAGCCTCCCGAGTGTTGGGATTACAAGCATGCACCACTATGCCCGGCTTGACTGCAGTTTTAAAGTGTAGCTGCATTTTTGTTTTTGTTGATTCATAAGCCTCATTTAATTAAAGTACAAATATAATGTTGAATGGCATGAGCATTTTGTAAGTGCATGCAGGTAGTTTGGTGGAAGGTAGGGACGGGGTGAAGATAGAATTAGCAGAAAGTAAGAACAGAAGGATCTTGTTACATATTTATCTTTTTACATTACTGAGGATTAAGCCCAGGGCCTTGTGCATAGTAGGCAAGTATCCCCAGCTCTTCTTTAATTAATTAATTTTTTGATTCTGAGGATCAGGACCTTGTGCTTGTGAAGTAGCAGCATCACTGAGCTAAATTCCTGGCCCTATTTTTTGAGACAGGGTCTTGCTATGTAATTCAGGCTGGCCTTGAACTCTCAATGTAGCTCAAGATGACCTTGAACTCATGATCCTTCTGCCTCAACCTCAGGTGCTGGGATTACAGGCGTGTGCTGCAATATTTGGCCATTCTTTTGGTTTTTTGAGACAGAGTCTCCCTGTGCAGTTCAGGCTGGCCTTGAACTCAGTGTGTAGCCCAAGCTAGTCTCAAACTCATGGCAGTCCTGCTTCAGCCTCCCAAGTGCTGGGATTTCAGGTATGCACCATTATGCCCAGCCTTTTATTTATTTTAAATTGATGGATAATATTTTTATCATGTAGAACATGATTAAATACATATACATATAGAATGATTGTTTCCTTTTCTCATTCATCAGAGCCCTTTCCTACTTGTACAATGATCAATAGCCATGACAAATACTAAGGTGTTAAGTGGGAAAAGCTACTTAACAGTGAAAATACAAGCAGAAATAAAGAGCACAGAGAACAAAATTTCTTCATGATTTTAAACAGGAAAGTGAGATAATTGCACATATCCCCTTTCCAGCATATTTTCTACCCACCTTCAAATTATCAGATGTCATTTCTTTGACATAAAGGCTCTATAGGTACTTGTCCCTCAAAATGATTCTTTACTTTTAATGATATGAGACTCAAATCAGTGCTCATTTTCTCTTTCTGCCATGGATTCCACTAATACTGTTAAATCTATGATGAAGCTAGTCTGGAGATGTCATGAGAATGAACAAATACTGGTTTTAACTTATTATTTATTGTCAGAAGAAACTATATCCTCATCATAGAGAACTTTGAAAAAATATGGAAGAAATGTATAAGCCATAATTCTGTTACAGATAAATAATTGGTACATTTTTCTAGTCTTTTTTTCTATACATTATAAAATCACCTCTGGTTTGGCATGGTAGTACATGCTTATAATCCCAGCACCTGGGAGACTAGGGCAGAAGGATTACAAATTCAGTCCCAGCATGGACAGTTAAGTGATTTAGGGAGACCCTGTCTCAAAAGAAAAGGTTGAGGGGCTCCGGATGTAGCTTAGTGTAAAGGCCCAGTACTACGAAGGAAACAAAATAAACAAAAAAATCAGATCAGCTCTGAATTAAATAATAGTGGATCGAGGGAGAGGAAACCTTCACAGATAATCTCAGTTAAAATTGCAGGCAGCTGGCCTGTGATCCAGCACTCGGGAGGCTGAGGCAGGAGAATCGCTGAGTTCGAGACCAGCCTAGGCTACATAGTGAGTTCCAGGTCAGTCTCAACTATGTAGTGAGACCCTGCCTCAAAAAACCAAAAAAAAAAAACACACAAAAAAAGCCCCAAAATTGAGGGCAAATCATTATTATTGAAGGTGATTTATACTAGGAACCTGTGATCTCTGCTGGTTTAAGTAATAAATGTACTGATAGATATGGTATTATAATTTAGTGTGGACAATATCTAAAAGTACCTTGACTTAGTACAGTTGTCTTACATGTTTTATATGTTCTTTGGACTATTAGTCTGGTTTTTAATCTGTATATATTATAATTAACTTTATGAGATCTTATAAATAAATGAATCTGATGGTGGAAAAATAAAAGGAGGAGGAAGAATGAGGGAAAAGAAGGTAATTGAAATGTGTTATGTACATATACTAATCCCCTACATGACTGTAATCATTATACACTGCAAACCTGTACTAATGAAAGTGGGGCAAAAAAAAAAAAAAGATTATGGTCATAGCCTTAAGGCTGGATTGTTAAGGGAGCACAGAGGTTAAGGGTTTATGCTTCAACCAGAACCACCCCTGGACTTGGCTAGAATAGGCTGTCATTTAATGAGCTAGAGCCACATGTAGGCCCCTTAAATGTGGTTAAGTGGTTAATAAAAAAACCAACTAGGGGCTGGGGATTTAGCTGCCTCGCCAGCTCAAGGACCTGAGTTTGATTCCCCGAACCAAATAAAAAAGGAACAAAAAAACCCAGCTAATCTGGTATATCAGTATTTGAGAGCTCAGATAGAATATGCAGTCTTATATTCTTTATATCTGATTAAAATAGTTGTGGATCATTTTGAAATTGGAAGAATAGTTCTGGGTGGTATGGCTGACCTAATCAGGAAACCTATAGATTTGCTCATAGCATATGAGAGATATAGGAAATAGCAACATTGACAGTGGTTCAGCTATTTGATAAGTAGTTTAAATAACCCAATATTTAACAGTTCTAAAAGTGGATTACCATTCTGTCAATTGTATGAATAACTTTAGAAACTCTTTTTTTGAGGGGCTGGAAATTGGCCTTCTGTGATTATATATATGCTGTTTCACTACACATTGACTCATTCACAGTTTTTATATGTTGTTTAATAGAAGTGTTGTGCTCTTTTTAAAATTAAAATTACCTAGACTATAATGGATTTTTGGGAAGAGCTTGTCTACTTGTTTCATCTATAGGGATGTGAAATACTAATTTATTCTATAACTTAATTTATAAACAAAATTATTGCTTGTTAACTGTCATTTTGTTTTACAGTTTCTCTTCAGCAACGAGTAGCAGAATTGGAAAAAATCAATGCAGAATTTTTACGTGCGCAGCAGCAGCTTGAGCAAGAATTTAATCAGAAGAGAGCAAAATTTAAGGAGTTATATTTGGCCAAAGAGGGTAAGTTCCTAAGTCTTCTTCTAACCCCTATGCTAAACTCTCTTAAAATTTTAAGTTGTTTTGTAGTACAATATTAATTTTTTCCTTAAATAATTCTTGGTTTTATATGTTCTTACATTGTAGAGCAAAAAAATACTATTTAGAGGCTAGAGTTAAGAATGCAGTCAAAACACAAATGTATAAGCCTATAATCCCAGTACTTGTGAGGCTGAGGCAGGAGAATTGCAAATTTGAGGTACGTGCTACTGGGCTGTGTAGTAAATTCAAGGCCATCCTGAACTGCAAGTGGTTCTGAATTTTTGCATCACAATTACCTGTGGGCTTTATTAAAACAAAGGTGTGCCCCACCCCCAGAGTTACTAAGTCCCAAAATTTGTATTTTAAGCAAATTAACCAAGTGAGGCTGATATTATTGTTTCAAGTACTACACTTGGAGAAACACTGACCTAAATTACATCTTGTATTTGAAAGTCTAAAAAGTAATTTGGTCAGAGTTCTCTGCAATGAAAATATGCATGTAAATTTCTTCTATATTGTGATGTTATTCCATTTATTAGAAATGTGTAATCACACTGTTTTTCACACATTTAAAAATTATTAGAATGTAAAAATGACTGGAAATAGTTTTGTGTTTTTGTGTTTCCTAATTAAGACTTAATCTTTATTAATATTGTATATGGATAGAAAAAGATAGGCTTTAGCATAAGTTCTATTGCAGTTTTTATTTTTAAGTAGATACGAGCACTGAGAAGCATTGACCTCCTAAATAAATAGGAACAAAAGTTTTATTATAGCAATTATTTATTTCTCTTAACTTTCTGAATTACATAGTATTGTAGCTTAAATTTTTTTTCTTTTTTTTTTTTGTTCTGGCAGCTACCTACTCAATTAGGTCTTTCTTTTATTTTGCTGAAAGCAGACTTTGTATCACCTGGCCTACTAAAAGATTTGTTACACAGTTATTCTTTTTAAAAAAAATTATTGGCATAGATATTTATTTTGCATTGCTGGAAATTGACTTGTTTGGTCTCATGAGGTTTAATTTTATCTGGGAATCAAATTTATATAAATAAAAATTATGTTTAAAAGGAGAAACATACTCTATTTGAAAGAGGAGAGAAATGAGATAGACTTGTTGGAGTAAGGTAGGGAGCTGGGTACTGGTACTCGATGGTCTTTGTTCTTAACCCTTGTTATTACATGGCAAAAAAAGATCCTCCCTCTGAAATTTGTTATAACTTGATGGCTATTTCAGGATCTGAGACCCCTGATTTGGCCACTGATCCTCTCCCTATCACCTATGTGCAAATACTTGGGCAAACTTATTTAGTCCTTCCTTATCCTGCCAAGGTGCTCTCTCTAAAATTTATGATGGGCCTTACATACAAGGCCGATTTAGCAATTAGTAAAGGGACGCATGTACATTTTAGTGAAGTAACATGGTGACAGAATTTGTGTGTGTGTTTGTGTGTGTGTATGTGCGTGTGTATGTGAAGGTGTGAGTATGTATTTTATATACCAAGTGAGTTTTCTGTAATAGAGCTCCCTCCTCACTTTTTCTGTTTTGTACTTAACTGGAGGTAGAGAGGAGTGAACTGAGGCCCGGGCACCAAGTGGGGCCAAGCTGCTTGTCAGCTCTCCTCTTAATTGTGCTCTCTCTCAATTCTGACCCCACCCCGTTGTGACTATTTCTAGTTAGGATATTCCAGAAACCACACTTAGGCCCTTACCTTTCTTTGCTTGTCCCCCAACTTTACCTACAGAACCGAGGAGTGCTGAGCTACATTTCCAACATTTAAAATTTAAAAAAAATTTTGTTACAGGGTCTTGTTAAGTTGCCCAGGTTGGCCTTGGAACTTGTGATCCTTCAGCTTCAGTCTCACATGTTGCCAGGATTAAAGGCATTTACTGTTATAAACGGTGTGCTAGAAGTCACTAGGACATAGGCTTTGTGTGAGAAAAAGCTTTATTCCTTTCTGTGTGTGAACAGGGATTGAAACTGTGGGCAGATTTCAGCAGCTTTATGTGAGAAAGGACTGAGATGCTGAATAATTTTCCGCAGCTAGCAAGGAGAGAAACCAAGTTTATACAGGTTTTTTGAAGGGGGCCTGTGCTCTGGAGTGGAATGTTTATGATTGAGGGTCCAAGGACAGTCAGCACAGGTGTGCATATAATACTGGATTCTCTGATGCTGAGGAGATGTTTATTTTGTACTAAATTTTCCTTATGGGCTTCTGTTCTCTTTACTGAGAGTAGCCTGTTGTTTGGTGAGGGCTGCATGTTCGCGCAGAGGATCTCATTCAGGCCAGTCATAACATCTCCTGTTATGCCTAGTGATACTGATACTTTAAATTGTCCCTCTTATTTGATACTACAGAGGAAATTTTCCTCAACATTTGCAAGGAGCCATAGTAAAATTAAGGATGAGGTGGAAAGCCTTTTGTTAAGTAGGACAAAGGTATGTTGAAGAAGAATCTACTTAAACATCCCTCCTGTATATCAGAAAAGAATATTTATCAAATTTGAGGATCTAGAAGTTGATTCCTTTAAAACAGGTGTCCATGAATCCTATGGGAAACCGTTGCTTCCTCGGGTATAGTGCCTCACTTTGAGAAAACATTGCTTTGGAATGTTGTTATTTAAGAATATTAAGTTACTACTGATGGATGACAAAGTTGAGTGGGTTTTGAATTTAAGGTATGAGTTAGGTTGGGTGAAATACATCCAGATCATACCCTATGCACCTTGTCATGAAATTTAACCTTAATCACACCAGTTAAAAAAGGAATAAAGTGCAAAATAATACATTATACTTAGTAAGAGTAAAGTCTAGCTGCACAAAATTTTAGAGTTACATATATGTTTATAGGATTATGATTTAAAAATATATATAATAGTGGTCAAAGAGGTTTGAGAGCCATTTTCCTATAGGATGGAAATTTTTTAGACATGCATGTACACTCTGCAAGACATTGTGGAGGTTGGCACTAAGGAGATAGGATTGCTGTCTTCAGGGAAGTATAGACTACTGCCAGGCAAGGTGGTGCATGCCTGTAATCCCAGCACACGGGAGGCTGAGGCAGGAGGATTGCTGTGAGTTCGAGACCAGCCTGGGTTACATAGTGATTTCCAGGTCAATCTCAACTACATAGTGAGACCCTGTCTCCAAAAAAAAAAAAGTATAGACTACTGGGATAGATCATAATGTTGCATAATATTGTTGTTGAGTATATATGTTAAATGTCATGGGCAGTAAGTCTTGTCGGGTTCTTTCATATGTTGGTGTTTGTTACTTTTCTGTTACGGCTTGTGTCTAGATGTATCCCCAAAGCCTTGTGCAGTCATGGGTGGGCTTTTTCAGAGGTGGCTGGATCTAGAAGGTATAATGTTAAGATTAAGGGAGTGTGATTACTAAATTAGTCCACTGATTGGTTTGGCACCCACCCTAAGTTGGGTAGTTTAAATAGAATATAAAAGGGCCAGCAAGAAGCTGCTATTGTCACTTGTGCCTTCTGCCTTCTGTCTTCTGCAGTGCCCTGCTGCCATGCCACCCTGCCTTAGAGCCAGCCAACTATGAACTGAAACCTCTGCAAACTGAGCCAAATAAACCTTTTCTCCTTTAACTTTGGATATTTTGTCTCAGTAATGAGAAAAATTAACTAAGATGCCTTTTCCTGAAACCTTTTTGGTGCTGCTAGAGTTCAAACCTAGAGCTTTGCACATGTTAGGCAAATGCTTCACCACTGACTGAGCTATAAGCCCAGCCCTTTCTTTCCCTTTTTAAATTTGATTCCACCTTGATTTGTCAGGGTACTGCTTTAAACTCTGTGCAGTGGTATGGTCTTTTTATCAGAATGACCTGTTGTATAAGGTCATGATAGTGTTTTCTCTGATAACCAGTTCAAACCCAAAATGATATTGGCTAAGCTTATCCTTATTTTTTCCTTTACCTTGCATACCAATACCTTTGTAACTCAATCATCCTTTCTGTAGCTGTCTTTTAGTTTTTATTTATTCAGTAAATTCAAGTTAATCTTGTACACAGCTTGTTTGATTTCATGTTTTTTTCTGTCTCCTAATAAAGCTATTAAGGTTTCTTCTATTTTCTCATTTTTTTTTCAAATTATAAAATTGCCTTTCTGTAAAATTCTGAAAAAAATGAAAATGACTAAGAACCTCTTATTTCTGATATGCATTATCATTTGTAGGTTTATGTCTGAATTACACAGCTCATACTGTAGGTTAGTTAAGAAAACACACTTCATAAGTTAAAGATACTTTGGTGCCATCTAGTCCCAATAAACACTCTTTGGTGTACTAATGAATCTTTTTTGTCTGAAGTTTTCAGTAAACTTAAGCTGGCCATAGAGAACAGTTAAAGGAGCTTTTTACATAATTTGAAAATGAGTGCTGTGATCCTTTTTGAGAATTTTTGTGACATCCCTAAATACAGTGAATAAATAGTATATAAGTCAGTGGTGATAATTTAGTTTCTGTTGACTCCTTGCTTGTATCATAATAAAATCTAATGCTTTCTTCTAAAATGGCAGCTAACATTATTACACATACTCTAAAATATGTACTCAGTCTTTTATACTTGTCACAGGTGTTAACAAAATAAGCCATGGTATCTATGTGCTCAGCAGTTTTTTATCTTTCAGCAAACCAGGTCAAGGTAACCCTGAGAGTTCACTTTTTTTGTCCCTTGCAGGGAGAGCGTTTACTTTAACGTTGTAAGAGTTGTGCTTCCATTTATTGTATTTGGAGAATAGATGAGATACATATGCAAACAGTAATGAGGAATGCTCATAAAAGAAATGACTTTTGATTTCTCTTACTGTTTTTACCTTAGTATCCATTTTTCCTCAGCTGACTTCAATTGAGAATGCTTAACATTTTTTAAACAAGTTTTGTTGCTTTTCTGTTGAACTTGAAAAAAGTATTTCCTGATTAACTTTGTTCTGTTAACCAACTTCAGTACGAACCTTAGCACTGCTGTA